CTCCCACCTCAAGCCGCACCTCCATCTCCTACCGACCAACCTCATCCCGCCCCCTTGACCTGTCCGTCCTCCCTGGACTGACCTATCCCCTTCCTAACTCCCTACCTACACTCACCTTTCCTGGCCCCATCCCCGCCTCTTCGACCTGTTTGTTTCCTCTCCACCTATCCTCTCCTCTATCCCTCTTCTATCCGCCTCCCACTCTCTCCCTATTTATTTCAAAACCCCCTTCCCCTCCCCCTTTTCTGATGAAGGGTCTAGGCCCGAAACATCAGCCTCTCTGCTCCTATGATGCTGCTTGGCCTGCTGTGTTCATCCAGCCCTGCACCTTGTTGTCTCGGATTCTCCAGCATCTGCAGTTCCTACTATCTCTAGTGCTATGTCAGTTGCTTTGAACATCACTACGTTTGCATGTGACCTAATCAGTAGTTCTTAAAGGAACAAAATGAAAGCTTTAAGTATTATAGTTTTCTAATGTAGAAATGGAAGGAGCAGGCCTGATCATATCTTGGGCAATATGTGTCGATAAACTGATCACTTTTAGCAGATTATCTGGTCATTATCACATTGTTATTTGTGGGTATTAGTTATATGCAAATTAACTGCTGTATAACAACATTATAATAATGACTGCACTTCAAAACTGCTTTATGATGCCCATAGAGACTGATGTTTGAAAATTCAAACTTAGTTAATAACTGAAAAGAATGACATGGCAAAATTTCACTTGTTGGATTTTTCCTGCAATTACCAACTAAAATCATTACCCTAACCTCTAACTTTGCAGTCAATTTATATACTTAAAGAAAATGTTCCTCTTTTATTCATACCATGTTCTCCACATAATTACATTTCATCTCGCAAGCAGTTCACAGACACTTCAAGCTTCTGATGGATTCATTTTTTGGCCATTTCACAGACTAGGAAATTCGCATGAATGCCTCCAGGCATTTCACTCTGATTTCGGAGAGTTTCCAAAATCCACTGCCAGCAGTAAAGTCCTGTCGGATGGTTTTGCTTAACCCCACCCATGCCAGGACAAATGTAACAGATTCCATCAATAGCTGTGCGATAGGTTTTGTCAACCAGAGACCATCTCCTTCTTGTGTTGTCTTTGGAAATTTGCAAAGAACACGCAGTCTGTTCTCTCTGCTGACTATACCAACTGCTATCCTTTTCCCCTCTGTTTTCTCCTCCACTCGAAATCCTGTAGCTGCTAAGTCTATTTTCTGTTAGCACAGCTGCCCTTGCCTGTTGTTCCCACATGTGAGAACCTTTAACCTTGCTCAGCAGGCCCTTTGACTAGCCAGGCTTCTTGCCAGGCAGAATTTGGAACAGTCACGTGACCGCTACATTCTAATCTAGACTTAAAGGCTTAGTCTGAGACATCATTATCTCTTAAACCTCAGTTTTATTAACTGTAAAGTATCTTGAGGTATCCTAGAATCCCTACAGGCCTTCTGAAAAGCATCCCCCCGCAAGACCAACTCGCACATGCTCGCACTGAAACCCTGCATTTACCATGGCTAACCCATCTATCCTACACATCCCTGGACATTATGGGCAATTTAGCATGGCCAATCCACCTAACTTGCACACCTTTGGACTGTGGGAGGAATCCAGAGCACCCGGAGGAGACCGACACAGTCACGGGGAGAATGTGCAAACTCCACACAGACAATCGCCTGAGGCTGGAATCAAACTGGTGCTGTGAGGCAGCAGTGCTAACCAC